GATTTTTAACTGGGCTGGAGAGATGACTCAGTGGTTCAGATCACTGCCTGCCCTTCCAAAGGTCCTGAGTTTAATTCCCAGCAACCACATGGTGGCTCACAACCATCTGTAATGAGATCTGGTGCCTTCTTGAGGAAGAGACCTGGTCATTCGCCCTCATCAACTTAGACTATGAAATCCAATAAGGACAAGTTAACAGAACTGCCACACACGGGCTGCCCATGCAAGCTTCGGCATTGCCAGGGCATAAATTTCTTTATTTGTTCATTTTGATATTTAGCCAGAGTTTGTGCAAGTCCCCACAGCTGTTGTGCGTTCAAAAGGGCACCACTGAGGCCACTGGGGATTTTTCTCCCCCATAGACCTAGAATATCAAGATTAGTAGCATGGCAGTCAATATGGAAGAGATTTCCAGGTTATCTCCCTCTGTGCTGCAACCAAAGTGCGTCTTGTCTTCTGCAATAGGGTCCTACCGTCAGGATGCAGTGGGAAATCGGGCAGCGACAGCAGCCTGAGCAGGAGTTGCTTTAGAAGTGTTTGTTTTGTGCTGTGTAGACAAGGTCTTTCTATGCCACTCAGACTAGCCTAAAATTTAATATGTATCCTAGGATGGCCTCAAAAATCATAATTCACCTGCCTTGGACGTAAGTGGACATTGGGCATTGCTTTTATTGTCAGGGATAGAATGCTATTTTGAGAAATAAATGTAAGATGAGATGAACTCTTTTCCTAGGCTAACTCCATAGCTACCAGTAAATTTAACAACATAGAGAGCATAGTACCTTTTGTAAAATTCAGTTAGTAGAGGAGTCATGAGTGGTTTGACTTGACAGATCAGAGAACCAGACAAACCTCAACCCTGAACATCACCAGCTGTGTGACCTTCAACAAATAACTAACCCTCCCTGTTCTCCGGTTTCTTTGCACACCTACTGGAATAATAGTACTGTCCCTCATAGGGTTGCCGTAAGGATTAATAAAATGTTATTGCAAAGCAGAATATGGGCTTGAAATGTGGGAATATGGTGACCATTCAGCTAGCTTTGGCAATTAATGACATTATTATTATTTGTACTAATAGTAGGTAAAGATCGCTAGACTATCCAGTCTGAACACTTAGCGAATCACTGAAATTAAAACACGTCTGGCAATCAGTCCCCGCCCTTACCTTCTCCACTTCAACACTGATCAGTTCTTCCCTCGCTTCTGTGACCCCAGCAGTTCTTCTCCCAAGAGGATGGACACTTTGAATGCATTCTAGACTCAATTTGAGGGCCAGTTAAATAGTGTTGCTAAGAGAAAGTGGATCTAGTTTGCCAAAACCAAATTACTCCCTACACAAGGGAGTAAGTGCAAGCCATAAACAGTTGATAAAAATATAAGCATCTCTATTCTCCTTGCTCCATATGAACTAAAGCTTAATTATTAACCTTACATTCACTCGTCCCAACAAAGAACACCCACTAAGCACAGTTTCCAAAGCAGCTCACCTTCAAACCGCTCACTTTCCCAATGGGTGACATAAAGCCTTCCTGAATGACTCAACCCAGTTCAGTCCATTGTTTTCCTATTCAGCATGGGGTATTTGAATGGTTTTTAAAATGTCAAGTCTTCTTAAGAATGCTGGGCATATTTTGAACTACACGTTAATACTGCAGGACATGTCGTAACGCAATCTGTCCTCCAGGCCAGTCATATTAGATCTTTCCATTTCCAGTGTGACACTGCTCCCCGTGGAGCCCTGAGGAAAAATCGCGTCACTAAATGTACAGGTGGAGGTGGGTGTGTTTCAAACACAATCAATTAATTGACGTGTCACAAATGGAATGGCCCTGTCTCCTCTGCTCCCAGTTTTCCAGCGTTGTCTGTCAATATCTTTATGTTGCTGATAGAGAAGAGAAAGGCATCTATTAGATCAAATGTGGCAAAGTCTTGTCTCTTCATGGAGTCTTTGTTATGTCCTGACACCCGGGTATAGCTTTCCCCCAATATGCACTGAGTTTCTGAGACAGAACCTCCCAGTTTCCCCGCTCAGTGCTGATGCTGGTGTGGCATCCCCTGCCCCCGCGACTGCAAGTCATGCCTTCTGCCCTCTTTCTCTGAAGAGAGCCACACCCGAGCTCTCTGGTTAAGAAACCTTGAGTGAGAGCCACAGCAAGTTGCCCCCTCCACACACACTTCACCTACCGAAAAGCATTTCTCCGAGAACTAAAAAGGGAATTTAAATTTCTCATCAGTGTCAGGAAGTAACCACCTCCACACTTTTGGCCTCATCTGTTTGTCAAGACGTGAATTCAGCTCTGGTTGCCGTCGGCTATCACGGGCGGAGGGCTGCACGCCCTGGACACGGATCTGGGCCCTGCCTTCCTTTGTTCCTTCATACTAAAGGTTCACGGAATGGCTTTCATTCTAGCTGATCCCCAGGAAACACTTGTGGGGGCCCTCCTTTCAAATCACCTTCTGCAGACAGATTTCTGATTGAATTCAAGGCCACATCCTGGGCGTCTGGTTTCTATAGCGCAAAGAATTATTGCTCCTGACATGATGTTCTGAGTTCTGAGGCCACTGCTGTCATATTGCATTTTCTGATCATTTTCCAGGGCTCTCCACACAAAACTCCACATGTGTGTGCACACGTACATGCATGCACGCGCACACACACAGCCTTCCAACTCATCAGACTCCATCCTCATGCGATATCCTTATACATTTTATGACCACACACCCTAGGGGAACCAAAGTTAACCCAGCTTCCCAAGCACACAGAGGTGCTCAAAGACAATAAACTGATTGAGGTGCTGTGGCACTCTGGAGTGGGGAACAGAGGTGAGGACTGGATCTCAAAGCCCCCTCCCCGACAAGTCCTCACAGGGGCAAAGTCAGTGGCGAAGTCAAGTTAGATGGGTGGCCGCATAGAGACGCACTTTATAGGCTGCTCAAAAACTGGCTCATGGGTGGCCGTGGTGGCTAAACAGTGAGCGTTGGATAAGGACAGGTGGGTCCACAAATTAAACCTGAAGTGGGTACTGAATTAGAACAGCCTGTGAGAGAGCAAGGGAACGAGGAGAGGCGAACGATAGAAAAAAACTGACATGGAGCTTTAGCGGGAAGGCAGACATGAAGGACTGTTCTATGCACATGCAAACATTTAAACAAAAAACAGAGCTCCTGCGAGGGCCCTGTCTAAGTGCAGAGCCAGCAAAAAGCCCCAGTATCCTGACGCCTGTCCTTGACACTTACTTATTTGGTTCCTGGGGCAGAGCCTGCAGGCCTTCCATCTAGGGAAAACTAAGTCTAGCTGAGTAGTGTCTGTTCATCTGATTGGAAGCTCTGTCCAAACAAAGGATTGAATTCTGAACTCCCTCTGTTCCTTCTCCACCGATCACTCGGGCTTTCTGGAAGTCTTAAGAGAACACCTAATCAATCCATGGGACAGGGAGGAAGAGGAAGTAGATCTTTTCCTACTGCAGACCACATGACCAGAGGACTTGGAGAGACTCAAACATTAAGCACTTGCTGGCCCAACTAGACCTGTATGCAGGTGCAATCCTTTGTGCTGATCATTGAACCAGTCCTGGGATTTAAACCAGTCCTTGTCCTTACCCGGACAAGGAACTAGCCTTTCTAAAAGATGGCAGGCTTGGTAATGAGTGGGCTGCAGGGCAGGGGTACAGTAGGGCATCAGAGTGGAGCCTGGGGCTAGGAGGCAATGCTTGGTGTCTGATCTGGGCCTGTGCAGCATCCTTCACTGGTCCAAGTAGAAGATTGGTACCTAAGGAAGCAAAGAGGTTTAGGAAGGATGGAAGTTTTATCTTCTCCTCGCATGTCATTTTTCTCCTCTTCCACCTTCCTTCCCAACAACATCCTGCCCTTTCCAGGCACAGCTGAACCCGTAGGAAGCCCAAACCCAGCACGGGCTGAGCAGGAGCATGGCACCCAGTCTTGACTGCTCCTTGTCTCCCAGGCTCCATTTATAGAACATTGCAGTCGGTGTGGCTTCAGGCCTGATTCTGTCCCGCACCTCAGCAACCCCTAGCAGCTGCCCAGCACTGGTTGAGCACCCCCACCCACCCCAGAAACACACACACACACACATGCACCCACACTGACTTCAGCTTGTTCAGTGGAATGAGCTTTAGACAGCCTCCCCCTTTTTCTGCAATCATCCACTTGCTCTGAAATGTGTGGTGTGACTTCCCTCTGCAAACCACAGCCGTCCTAGCTCTATGAATTTCTCTTTCCAATCTTTTCCTTGCTCATTCCCCATCTTCCCAGGGAACTCAAAGGCTGGTGCTGAGAAACAGAAAACACGGGGGAGGGGGGAGGGGAGGCCGAGACAGAGAGTTCCCAGTACACTAACAGTCTCATCTCCAAGAGAACAGCGTGCTTACTCCAGCGCAAGTGCGCCTGTGCACACACAGAGATGCCAGCCTCTCACTCCTTGAAAGCCATTCTCTCACAGCTCCCTCCTACCCCATGTGCTTTCACTTTTCCATCCAGAAGTTGGACGCTCCCAGAGCAGGGGCCAGGAGCAAACCCCTGGCAAAATCACTTGGCCATCGGTCAAACACAAAAGGAAACCCAAAGGGCGGCTTCTGTGGCTTCCTTCTTCAATCTCCAGCCGCCTTTCTTTGTCGTCACCTAACTTCCCACCGGACTCCGATCTCCCCCTCCCTCGACACAAAAAAAGTCACCGAATCTTGTTCAAATTGATTACTTTATTGACAGTTTACATACAGAAGTATTTAGAAAAGGACGTGGGCTCCGGAGTCAGCTTCTCCCGGGGCCACCCACGCTTGTGCTGCACTTCGCCCAGAGCCAGAGCGCAGGTCCAGACGCCTGAAACACACCCCTCCCCTTCCGACACCCCTCCCCTTCTGCCCCTTCCCCGCGCGCGACGCTTTCCTAGAACTAAAAACTGATCCCGCCCGAGTCCCCGCGCCACTCCCGCCCTCTCCCTCCCACCTTCCTCGCCCACCTCCCGCCCGCCCTCCCGGCCCCCCTACACTACATCATCACGCTTTACAGGACACCGACTTCTACAGCCCACGCTCGGTGGGGACTACACGCTGGGCAAACTCACTTCTCCTGGGAGGAGGGGACCCAGGGACTCCCTCCTGCACTCCGCACTCGCTGCTGCCCGCGCGCTCTGGCCCCAGTCAGGCAACCTCGGAATTCGTAATATGTTCCCGGGGAGTCACACTTAGCTCCCTCGCTCCCAGCACGTTTCTATAGGGCTCTGGACCCTCTGGAGTTGCAAGAGCCACTGTGCCGCGCCGCTCACCAGCCCCTGGCACCTGCAAGACATTGACAACGAAACTGGCTGGGGACCAAGCCCGCACCCTGCGAGGAAAAGGGGTGCGCGGCCCCGCAGCGCTTGAAATTAGGAGAAAGACAGAAGAAAACGGATTCCGACTCTCACACCTGACACACTCACATCCAGTTTCCCAGACATTGGGAAGGTTGTGTTAGCACCAGACCCATGAATGTCGCTGTCTTTGATAACAACGAAAATAAGAAAATCAGTGCGCTGAGTTGAAAGGCGTCCCAGAACCCCAGCTTGGCTCCAACTGTACAGAAATGGGGCAGGCAGGGGGTAGGGACAGAGGGAGGCAAGGATTTGGATCATTGTAGGGAAGGTACTTTGAGACTAAAAATTAGCCGGCTTCTGGCACATGCAACCTTGAAAAGGCAGAGTGGGGTCAAGGTGAGAGCCACAGCGCTTCACTCTGGGAACGTGTCCTGGGGATCGCGGGCAAAGCCCAGAACCAACCCCATTATTATCAGCAGATGTAGCCAACGACTAGCGCGTTCCCTTTGCCTCCACCCGGGGGGTGAGAGGTGGGTTTCGTTGATCATCGTCGCGGTGGAATGGAAGGCATAGACGGTTTTTCGCTGTCTGTGGGTGGTGTCTGAGAGGAGGTAGGCGCCTGTCTCTGTGCTTTGGGGGAGGGGTGGGGATTCAAACCCGCCAAGAGGATGACGGTGACTAGCGAGAGACCACTGAATTCGGCCCACTCCTGGAAATCCTTAGTAGTGACGCCTACGGAGGGCTAAGGAGGAAGCTTGGGGGTGAGGTGGGGTCCCGTGAGGATGAGAAAGTCCTGCCGTCCCTAGGCTACAAGGTACCCAAGGTAGAGGTGGGCAGGCCAGGCGTGCTGGGGGCTCAGCCTGCAGTCTGCCTGTAGTTGCCGTTTATCTCTTGGGCGATGTTGACGGCCTCTGCTCCCAGGGGCAACCGGTCGCTGTACTCAGAGCCAGCCTCGAACTCTTCTTGGTTGGCCTTAGACTGAGACTCCACCAACGAGCAACCCACCAGGCTTTCTTCTCTCTGCAGGTCCTCACTTGGGTCCCCCTGCTCCACGTCTTCATCAAGGCCCTCCTCCGGGGCCTCCTCCGGCTCCTCACCTCCGGCCTCGCCACGGGCAGGGTAGCTTTTCTCAGACTCAAGGTAGGAGGCACGCGGGTCAAAGTCGGCGGCGATGCGTTTCTCCATAGGGTCAGGGGCCTGAGGTCTTAGTATTAAACGATAGGGTTTGCCCGGGTGTTTGGCCAGTAGATGGCAGCAGGCGGCGCCCAGCAGGGGCACGGTGGCCAACACCAGGAGAAACACGCTCACTGTCACGATAACCAGCAGGGACGGCAGCTCTTTTTTGGTGGAAAACACCACTTGCACGTGGCACGCCTCGCCCGCCAGTGCCAGACACACGGAGTAGTTGGTGCCAGGTCGCAGGCCGCGAAACCAGTAGGCATTGACCCCTTCCTCAACGCGTGACCACTGAACTGCCGCGCCACCACCCGCAGGGCACAGATAGAGTAGGCGCAGGGGCCGCCTTCCAGGCCGCCGTGCTCCGGTAGCACCATCTGGTCCAGGGCTCCAGCGCGCAGCAAGAGGCGTCAGCTGCACTCGAGCTTCACGCTCGGCTACATCCAACGCGATGACACCCAGCTCAAAAACGTGCGACTTTAGCTCTGAGCTCTGATTGAATGCATGGTTAGACACATACCGAGAGGGGTCCCCATGGCCACAGTGCTTCTCCCCCTCCGAATCTGTAGGGATCTGACCTCCCACCTGCTCTCTTTCATCTGTCTCCTCCAGCTCCGCCTCGATTTCCCCGAGGATGCTGACCCGGGCCAGACCTTGGCCTTTGGTTTTGCCCTCAGGCTTGTAGGGCAGAACACTGTTGCTACGGCCCTTAACAGGGGTCTTGCGCTCCGAGGTCGGGGCCTGCGCTTCAGGTTCTCCCCCTGTTCCAGGAGCGTGTTTTGGCGGCCCCGCTGCAGCCACGCTCACCCGTATTGACGTTGAGTTGGTACCCAGCTCATTGTGTGCACGACATGTGTAGACGCCTGCCTCCTTGGCACTCAGGATGGGCACCAACAAAGAGCCATTTGCGAGGGCCAAGAAGCGCGGGGTGGCTGGAGGCGCTGGCCAAGCAGGTGCTGGAGTCGGGGTCGGTGCCTCAGTCTGTGTAGGCAGGTCCTCATCTCCATCACCCTCCCCATCCTCTGCCTTATGGCCTCCATCTTCTTCCTTGCTGAGAACCGGTGACTTTAAGACTACAGTGCCACCCGGGATCTGAAGTTGCCATTGCAGGCGGGGTGTGGGGTGGCCTTCCGCGACGCAGTGTAACATGAAAGCCAAGCCTGCGCGCAGAGGGGTTCCAGGCGCCTCAGGCGGCGGCTCCGCACTCAGACGCACGCTGGGAGGTGCGCAGGGCAGGGCAGGCAGGCGGTGCACCGGCACGCCCTGCAGCTCAGGAGGTGAGGCGCACGCGATAGAATCAGGCTCGGGTAAGGAGACTCGGGTGCTCGCCGCCCACGCCTGCAGCCACAGGAGACCACAGCTGCAGTGGAAGGGGTTGTGATAGAGTTGCAGGTGAGACAGCGCGTTCAGTGCGTCGAACGTGCCAGGCTCCAGAGTACGCAACCGGTTGTTGTTGATGCGCAGAGAGCGCAGGTCGGGCAGCGAGCCGAGTGCATCCCGGGGCAGCGATCCCAGGCGGTTGTGGTTCATTTTCAGCAACTGCAGCGCGCTCAAGTTACGAAGGTCGCTCCAAGGGAAGTTGGATATGAGGTTGTGGCTTAGGTCGAGGTTCTTGAGCTGACTCAGCACCGCCAAGGCCCCTGACTCTACAGTGCGCACCTCACTGTGAGCCAGCCACAGCGAAGTGACCTGCGTGACGTTGACGAAGGCCCCCCGCCTTAGCACCGTAATCTTGTTGGCAGACAGACTAAGCGTGGTCACGTTGGCTGGCAGTCCTTCCGGGACCTCGCGCAGCTCCTTGTAGGCACAGTCTGCAAATTGGTGGGCGTACTTGTCTATACAGGCGCAAGGCTCAGGACAGGCTCTGGCCACTCCTAGCAAAGCCCAGGCCAAACACAGGGCTCCGAAGGGATCCATCAGGACCTCTGCAAAAGTCAAGGTGAAGAGGGGTCATTTACACCACAGCTTTCTGTTCTCCCCTAGCAAACTCAATCTTCTAAACCTGTGTAGGCTCCAGAAAGCTTAGGAAAGAATGGGGCTCGGTAAAAAGCCTACAGTTTTAATAAACGCGTGCTTTCAGGACCCTGTTTTGCTTCTCCAGAGGGCATGGAGCATGCTTCCCTTACCCCATCTGTTCCCTCAGCTGGAGCTGTCCCCTCCAAAGTGTCCAATGCCTGTGGTCTGCAGTGAACCCCACACTAAGCCTTCTTTCTGCAGCTTCATTAAACCCGGTGAAATGGATGGAGGTGCAGAAAGATTTTCGTTCCCGACTGGCTGTCTTCTCTGGAATCCTTTGTCCCGTGCACAGCACTCGCACGCACTTCCTCACAGGCAGTGACAGTGAGAACAGAAGCTTAGGCATCTCCTTGCAGCCGCCAACTGGGCCAGGGACTCTCTCCACAATGAATTACATAGACACAAAACATAGGCACCCAGACATCTACACCATACACCCTGGAGACCTCATTGTTCCTCAGTTCAGTGCGGCTTTGCCACAGCGTTCTCCACCACGAAGCAACGCGCTTTTCTGTTCACAGTGAGAACTGACAGATACAAGGACACAAGTCCTCACGTGACCCAGCCCCCACACAGGGACATTGGTGCAGCCCTGCCTTCCTCTGAGACCAAACCCGGAGCAGATGAGCAAAATGGAGAACTTGTGGAGTGTGGGGTGGGTTCTGGGGTAGCCTCCACCCACTTAAGCCTCCTAGATTCCCTGCCCCGGGCTGCAGCTCCCCTCAAGGGAGAGCCACAACTGCTTAACTATTCTTCCATCTAGGAAATAAATCCTCCCCCATGACTAGACAGAGTATGTTGTGGGGACAGTCACTAAAGATTCCTCTTTGTATTCCACAGAGCTCAGGTAGACCCCCCCACCACCACCACCACCACATGTCTTTAAGGGGACAACCCTCTAGCAAATAAATTTGGAGAAAGCTCAAGGTTCTCTACATTTCTCCACAGACTCAAGATACCCGAGTTCACCTTCTATCTCTAGCCACACAAATTCTCTAACACAGACTCCTGGCCCAACTTGAGACCACTGTCAGTCTTGGCGGAACCCCTCCAATATCCTGCCTTTGAGAATAGCAGGTCCCCTTGTCTCTTTTGCTCCTAAGGGAGGCACCTCCCTTCCCTGTTCCTTCCAGACGGTCATCCACGCTGGCAGGAGCTTTAGGCTGGACCTACCCTGTGGGCTGAGATTGTGGAGTCGCTCCACCGCTTACCTGCTGCTCTCAGACTTGCACTGTGCTTCCTTCGGGTTGCAAGCCACTCTCCAGACTCAGGTGACAGTCCAAGCGAGCTTCTGGCATCTGTTGCTGTGGCAGTGGGGAAAAACGGGCAGGTCCGTGTAAGAACTCCCCCTCTCCCTGAAGTCCTACTTCATTTTTTTTTTTCTTCCTTATCTGTTCGCCCCACTTCTTACTGCCTGAAGGTTGGAGAGTCGTTGCGCGTCCCGGACTCAGCGGGAACGCGCCCAGTCTCCTACCTCGTGCAGCTTGCGGGGGCGTTCACGTTTGTTAAAGCCATAAAGATCCTCTCACACCCCAAACTGAGTACCGTCGATATCAAGGGGCCCCATAAGCACACAACCCTGGGCTCAGCCCTTCCCAGCCCACCGCAGCCCTATAACCTATTTCCCCCAACATTTACACACTCAACGACATTGTCACTATTTCTGGCCATGCCTCTAAATCTCTCGCCAACACACACACACACACACACACACACACACACACACACGCCTATACACACGCCCCATCAACATGTAATAGTCACGTCAACGCGCCAAGTTCTAGCTACCTTCACACACATTTTCACAAGCACACCTTCACTCGAACACTCACCGTTCTCTTCTGCGCGCGCACACAAATATCCGCGCTCACTCACCCTCACGCGCCCGTCCCTCCAGCGCCCGCGAGCTTCGCTGCTAATTGAATGCGAGCCTTCTACGCCCCGCAACACGTGAGACAAAACCATCTTTGAGGAATTTGGGAGAAAGAAAGGCATAGGACTAGAGGGCGTGTCTTTGCCTTTAAACACTTTTTTTTCCTCCCAAAAGCAAGCAGTGGCGCAAAAAGACCTCCAGCGGGACCAGCTGAACTGCGCTGCCTGGCTTGCTCGGACCCTTTCCCTCCTGCCGGCTGCTAGCCTCCCCCTCCCTGAAGCCACATTCAACACGATGCATAATTGATAGTGTTAGCAGAGTGCCTCACCCTCCCTGTCGTTTTTGCCTGGATCTGGGCAGAAACAAACCCTGGTTTCTCCTCCACCCCCAATCCCCGCCAGACTAACAGGCTAGCTGAGAAGGCGCAACCCTGCCGGGCGCGCGCAGGGAAGAAACTCCCACCTCCCAAACCCATCGCAGACCTTGCCCAGCCTCTTTAGCTGTAACTCCACCGCCAGGTCTTTTGTGGCAAAACCAGTGCGTGCACTCCACTGCCGGTGTGCTAGCGAGTGCTCACCGTGTTGTAGGTGTTGTCCGACCTCCTAGAACACTAGATTAAACTCACTGGGGTGTCTCACTCAGCCCTTGCTTGCCGCAGGCTAGTGGGGCACTGAGGTTGCCACTGACAGTGGCGACGGGGTCAGGGATGGTTACTAAAGCGTCTGCTCCTCTTGAGTACTGTGGACTAGGGACTTAAGACGGGGAGCATTTCCTGCACCCCACTACCCAGTACCGTTAAAGCATCTCCAGCAAGCATACCATCAACCCTTGCATGCTCATACACCACACACACACACACACACACACACACACACACACACACACACACCACTTCTATTAAAGCCTAGGCAGCAACCACCGCCCTGCCATCTCACACTCCCATGTAACAGCTGGCCTCAGCAGACTCTCGGACTCTCTGTTCTCTTTGGCAAATCAGGGGCATTTGATTTAGCCCCAAGCAGGAGGATTTGAAGGGTGTCTAGGCATTTAGTTAAAACTCACCATCTTACTCCCCTGCCTATGGCATCCCAGGAAACAGAGCTGCCAGCCAGAACTGGTAAGGGGGCATAGGTTTATGAGAGATGTGTAGACTCCCCACCTCCTGCTATTCCTGTAAACACTGTAATCCTGGGGTCCCCCAGTCCTCACAGAGTCATCCTTCTGTCTTGGGTCGATGGCAGTGTGTTTGGGGCCTCTGCGGAGATCAATACCCCGATTTGAGTGTTAAGCATTTTAATGAGCTGAGGAGGGATGGTGGTGGGAGGTACAGAAAAAATATGGCATCTATAGGGACCACCCGGCTGGGCTTCTGAGGTTCCTTTGTGAATTAAATAGGAACATACTGGTGTTGGGCACACTTTGGTCCCTCCCTCTTTTCTACTCCCGGCTACCGACTGCTAGGACCAGCACAATCCCACCCAAGTTCGGAATCTAGAACTTCATCGCACCTGCTCAGATCTGGAAACCACACAGATGGTCCCGGAAGAGAGTGATTAGGCAGTTCAGGGAAGATGTCTTTGAGTGGGCAGAGAGATGAGACTCCTCCCTGCCCGGGACTCAGCATGTGAGTCCATGATTAAGGCTCGAACCTGAGCCAAGGCCCCAGAGGTTTGGAACAGTTGGCCTGGCAGCGACTTCTTTGTCTGCAAAAGCAAGGGGGATGTCCTGTTGTATCGTTCATGTTCTAGCAACCTTGAGGGGAGTGCCTTGCACCTCGCACCGCTGTGTGGCAACAGAGCGACTAAGACTCTGCTCTGGAACGGCGAGTCTTGGGGACTTTCCTGGTCTGGGGAGAGGAAGATGCAAAGTGTGGACGCTCCTCGGATCCACTCATCCAATTTCACTTCTATTCAGCTCTTTTTGAGTTTGGAGGGGAAGCAAGGTGGCCGAGGGATAACTTGGAAGGAGCAAAAGGACCAAGAGCTGGAAGAGAATGGGTTCATGAGCTCTCCCTCAAGACTTCCTTGGACTGCAAGGACGTGCCCAGTCAAAGTCCTCGTAAGCTCTGGGAACTCTGGCTTTCTTTCCCAAAGAGGCTCGGAAGCCAAGGATCTTGCTGTGGAGAGGGCGGTTCCAGCACCCTCAAGACAGCTTAAGGGCGTGGCATCCACGCTGCCTCGGATGCTGTTCCGGCGGACCTCGGCTTCCCACCCACTCTCTGGCAAAGATGTTTCTATTGCCCGATTTTGTACCGGGGAGAAGACGACGCTTACCCCGTCTTCAACCCTGAAGAACCTAGTGCTGGTCCCGACAAGGCTGGAGCCGGAGTCGCCTCTATCAGCATCGGCGGAGTCTGGGGCGGCAGCTGCAATTCCTGGTTCAACCACTGAGCTCGGCTAGAAGACAGCGTGCAGAGCCTTGGCACCGCCCAGAAATACCGTCCTTGCTTTTAACGTTAATAACGATACAGTGACCTAGAGAGGGAGAGCCCGTGCCTAGAAGCAGCTCCCACCTCCAACTCCTGCCTACGCCTTTGATCTTTAAAGGATCAGGTATTTAATCAGGTGAGTGCGGTAGGAGTGAAAGGAAAGGGCCGACACAAAGTTGCCGAACAGAGGGTTCCTGCTGCCCAGTTCAGGCACAAGTTTTTTACCAAGCTGCAGTCCTGACCCTAGATAGACGCAGAGGCCGAGAGCTGAAGACCCTAGACTGCTTTGCGGATTGACCTTTAACTTCAACCTTGAGTGCCCAGATGGTCCAGATAGTGGGAGCCCTGAAAACGAAGGCTCCACGGACTCGCTCCCAGCGCTAGGTCCGCAATGATCTAGGGTCCAATCCTGGTCCCTGCGCGCCCCCTGCTGGATACTGCCTGCAGGAAGCAGAGGAAGGGCAGTGGCCTTGGAAGGTGTGGGCCTGGGCACCAAAGAGAGCTCTGCCTGGGGCTTTCAGTGCTGGTGCGGTTGGGCAAAGCTGTAGAGGGGTGCACTTAATCAAATTCTAAAGTTTTCTCTCAGTGCCCCCAGCCTGCGCCTCATGGAAACACAATCGGGCCTTCTTATTTTAGCACCGATTTGGCCAGTTCGTGGCCCAGTGGATTCCCAGTGCCCAGAATCCAACCTTGCATCATTTCTCCTTGCACAAGTGTTGTTACATCGGGAAGAAAGCTTCCAGCATACCTCTCTTGCAGTCCTGTCCCTGCCTCTCAGTTCTTTGCCAGAGGCTTCTAAAATGTCTCTGAGCTGGCAAAATAAACTTGTTGGCCTTAAGTGAGGCGGGGATGGGGGAAAGGTGAAGTAATAGATGTTTGATTAAACGCACCCTTGTGTTTTAATGTGGCTCGTGGGTGATTTAATGGACTGGCCAAGGTGTGTGGGAAGAATTTCCAAGAACAAGAAAGTCAGGACATCAAATATTCAGACATCCCCGGCACACCAGCCTGCTCCAGAGACCTTCCTCACAGCCTCCTCCAGGCAGAAGCTCTGGAACTCACTGCCTCGTACTGTACAGTGCCTGCAAGCTGACAAGTTCACACACACGCACACATGCACGCACACGCTCACTCACACAGACAGACAGACAGACAGACAGACAGACAAGACAGAGATTCCAGCAAGCATTTCTTCTTTTCTTTCTTAATTTCTATCAGGTTTAGGCCCTGTTTCTATACCACCCCCTCTTTTCCCAGCACCAGGTGCCATCACCCAGCAGCTATGGGATCCTGGCTTTACCTCTCTGTCTCTAAGAAACAAAGGACAGACAGGGGCTGGAGAGGTGGCTTAGTGGCTAAGTGCACTAGCTGCTCTTGCAGAGGGTCAGGGTTGAACTCCCAGCACCCACATGACAGCTCACAACTTTCTGTAACTCTAGTTTCAGGGGGTTCAACACTCTTCCCGGCCTCCCCAGGACCAGACACAGATGTGGTGGACAGGCTTAGATGCAGGCACTCCCTCTTAGTCATAAAATAAGAATAAATAAACCTCTATCAAGAGCACAGACGAGAGAGCAGGTTTCCCTGTGAGGATTAAACGAGCCAAGACACAGCGGAGTCCTCCATCTTTGGCACTTTGTGCTCGGTGGAGCAGATATTGTTTTCTCACCAACAGCTGAATAGAATCAGTCACTATTGTTGTCCTAAAGACTTGGGCCTACGATGAACACACTGCTACATGCACTCTCGACGCTTATGTCTTGCCTATCCCGCAGGGAGAAGAGCTTGGCTCTGTCCCTGGCCATCTTTCTTTACCACCTGTCCCCTCTGTGAGAGTCAGAGTTGCCCGTTATTATTTGTGCAGGTTTTTGGGTTCACATCCCTAGCAGATTGTGATGCATGTGGCTGTCTCCAGTGTGCCTGCCTGGGAAGAGAGACTTGCTACTACAGAATCAGCAGAAGGTTTCTTAATTAAAATCACATTCTCTTTAAGTATTTATTGAGCTCCGGGACTTTAATTATTTTCTAGAGGAAAACAAAAGAGAGCCCACATTTGTGTATGAGAAGACTGTTGATTTCTGAGGAAAATGGCAACCTGTGGCAGGTCGCTGGAGGCAATGGGGATGGATTTCTGGAGTGATTCAAATAAAGCCTGACATTATTAACAAACCCAGACCCAGCCCACGACCTTCCTCCCAGTGCTTTCATTAAATTAGTTCCACATGCTGGCACGACCATTCATTGCCATAAAAATTAATGATGGTTTTTCTGGAAGTGGCTCATGTAATTTGTCTGGGTGTGCATTTGTACTGCTGATTCTGGGGCCTGCTTCCTGGGAGAGGCAGCACTCGCGAGCCATGCAAGGTGTGGTGTGTTTAGCTGCCCCATTTCACCAATGCAGCGCTGGCTCCCCCAGGAGACATCAGCCTCCCCATGGCAGGACTCAGTGTGATCGAGAGTATGGAAAGGAAGGATGGGTGATGGAGGAGGATGGTTCAGCAGTGAAAGTTGTTTGCCACTGAGTGAGATGGTCTGAGCCTCAGGACCCACATGACGGAAGGACAGAATGTATTCCTGTAAGTTGTCTCCTTACTTCCGCATGCGCCACTGTGGTTAGTGTGTGCGCACACATACACACAAATAAAATTTTTAAAAATTAAAGAATCTAAGGCCTGGAGAGATGTCTCCGAGGTTAAGAACAGGAGCTAAGTTCAATTCCCAGTATCCACATTGGACAGCTGACAGCCACCTGTAACTCCAGCTCCAGGGAGATCTGATGCCTTTGGCCTCTTCAGGGGTATGAAGACTCATGTGCACAACTCCACACACAAATACACATGTACACACGTAATTAAGATAAATCTTAAAAAGTGGCGGGATGATGCTGGGGGGAGAGGTTTTGTGCAGGATCTGTTTGCCAATGGCAAAAGTCACCTCAAAGGGTAGAGATCAGTAACTGTCATCTTCTAAAGCAGGAAGCAAAGCTGGCCTCAAAGCTGATTGGTTGGCTCCGTGCCTCTGCCACACCAGTAGTTCCCAACCCTGAAGCCTTTTCTCTTCCGTTGTTCTTATTAGGATAACTGGCTGTGCTCACTGACGTTGTTAGCTGATTCCAACAGGAACACAACAATATGCTTACCACTAACAGACTTGCGCTCAGCGTTGCAAGCTGTAGGTTGTGACCTCCTGTGGGGGTCACATAGCTGCACATGTGAGCGGCGAAAACTTCGGCAACAGTCAAAGACTTCTGAACGTGCAGCGATCAAGATGACTTCAAAATAAACCTCTCCTGGATGAAGTTTCTAGTGGTGCTTGCCCATGTGGTAGCTTGCAGCTCCACTGAAGGCTTGGTTCTTTTTTTTTAATTTTTTAATGATTTATTTAACTTTATTTTATGTGGATTGGTGTGAAGGTGTCAGATCTTGTGGAACTGCATTTTCAGACAGTTGTGAGCTGCCTTGTGGGTGCTGGAAATTGAACCGGGGTCCTCTGGAAGAGCAGTCAGTGCTCTTAACCGCTGAGCCATATCTCCAGCCCCCTGAAGGCTTGGTTCTAAACAGGGACACTTTGCTCTGTGCAAGCTGTCCTGACACGCAACATGAGCAAAAGCCACCAGAAACACCTTGGCTCACCTTGAGGACTGTTGTGATGTTACGAACTGCAGGATTTTTACTCTTTGTACAAAGTTTTCTGCTCTTTTAGAAACATAATGCTTTAATCATGGAAGAAAAAGGCAATATTTTTCTATAGTCACTTCTCAGTGTATAGGTATCAAATTAGTGTATCTTTGAATTGTATTAGATTAGAATATTTGATTTCTAAGATTGCTGCTTGAATTCCTAACTTGAGTTACATTAAAAAAATGTTATATGAATTTTGGCTTGGGATTAAGATAGCGCTTTTAACAATTAGGAAAATTGGCCTCGAATAGATTTCTTTCATTAGCATTGTGCCAATCAACTCTGAAAAACACTGAAGATACTCTGTTATCTGTGGTGTCAAATATTTGGCCAAGATTTAACTTTTTATGTAAAAATAAGCAAGCAATCTATTTACCTATCTACCTATCTACCTACCTACCTATTCATCTATCTATCTATCTATCTATCTATCTATCTATCTATCTATCTATCTAAGAATTGTTTTAAGATACATTTCTTTTTGGTTTGCTATCAGAATGATTTGTACATCTATCATACATACTTGAAGACACATACAATTTTGAGGGGTGAAAAGGGGCCATAAGTAGAAAGTTTCAGAAGCCCTAGGCTAGTGGATAGAGGACTGGTTTTCTATCCCAAAGTCATATCTTTCTTTGGGATCTTATTGACACACAGTAGTTTAGGATGTCCCATCTCTAAAACAATCTCTGGCCAAGGAGATGGAATGATTGGCTTAGGGTAATCTAGTCTTGAGTCAATAGCAAGTTTCCCCACAAGCAGGATGTCCTTTCATTAGAAGAGCTGGAGTTTGTGAATTCAGAGTAACCTAAGATTATGGCAGAATGAATTGCAGTGACTGACAACAGCTATACTGAGCGAGAATCCCTATTTATGTGGAGATTAGGTTGGTCTGTCCAGGATCTGTGACCAGCAGTAGGGCTCAGGTAGAGGTCCTGATGAGGACCAGGGCAGTGTGTGTAACCAGGTTTGGGGAACTCTCTTGACTGGGCATAC